AGAGGTTGCTGTATGGTTCTTCCATACTAATTTAGTGGCTTGTAACTAAATCCTAAGTAAAATTAGGGGTGCCCTTGCTATGCACACACCCAAGGACTGTGCACTTAATTCAGCTCTGCAAGGTGGATCAGGAAGGTCTCAATTCCCCTTGCCCTCTGCCTTTCTGTATCTGCTAGGGAAACCAGACCCCTTTGGGAAACAAGCCCTCCACAAGCACACAGCATCCAGTACTCAAATGCAAAAGCCCATTTAGCTGATAGAGTCCACAGAAACAGCAACTTTTTAAAGCTCGACAAAGGAATTCGGCCAAAGATAAAACAGTTGCTACGTTCCCCAGGTATCATGCACCCTTTCCTGTCTCCACCACCAGCAACCTCAAAGACAGTTGCTGGGGCAGAATCTTGGGGAACTTTTGCCCTTGTTTAAGTGAGCTCTTTGCAGGCATGGCCCTGCACCACAGCCAGTTGGCTAGACAGTCAGTGAGCATGGTCTCCTATGGCTGCCCATACCATGCTTGTTTATACAATGAGATCTCTTTTGCCTGGAGCACACGCAATTATGTAAAGCTGAGAGGAAGGTGATGAGTGTTGCTGGCAGGAATATAAGTCCCTGCTATTCCAGTTAAAATCACCCTGAAAGTAGTAATTTCTCTACTTAAAATTTGTACTTCGAAAACACTATTAATTACTATGGATGTGTGAGAAAACGGTAGATCTTAGTGGTCAAGATGCTGAGGCTCTACCTAATTCAGGGAGAGTTTTGTTCTGAAATCAGGATTTTACCTAAATTCCTATTACTGGAGACTGAACAACGTGGAAGTAAAAATGACTAGTGTAGATACCTGTGGCGTAAGAATATGAAAGTGTATACCTAGATAGAATGGCATCTATATACATAATGATGGTTATGTTTTAGTATTTATGAACTGAGGCAGCTCCTAATAACTGAAGCTGTTCCTCTGCCTGTGTTGCACAGATTCTCATTTAGAAAACAGGCAAAAATTGTACCCTAAAATTGCTGCCACATTGACACTGAAGTACTTATATGAAAAGTACTTTCTTAAAACAACATACAGTTGGAGACTGGACTGATGATGTTATAGTCCCTTCACGTAACTCACTGCTTCAGAGCGAGGTAAGTGAAGTCCACAAACTTAGCATTAATTTATTGCAAATACTGGAATGGCTGTAATGGTTCATACTCACCCCGCTGCTTCAGGCCAAGTGGCAGTAGACCACAGGGGGAATTGTCCTTACCTTAGCAAGAGATGGACGTGAGCCTGTCTGGAGTAACTAGTGCCTCACTGGCCATACCGCAGCTAGCAGAAACATCTTCTCCTCCTTGCCCCATCACTTTTCCTGAGTGGAATATTTTCAGCATATAGCTAGAAGCTAGGATTCATCTGCTCAGCTGAGAGCCAGGCACTGGGTGGGGAGGAAGGGACCCCTCTCTCACCTATTTTAAAATTGCCCTTAAGGTAAACTGAATGGTGCCCGGCATGTGCGGAAGTGTCTTCAATGACAGTAGAAGAAACAGGTGGGAGTCAACCCAAAGGCAGCTCTCAGCAGTGTGCACACCTGAAGTTAGCTGAAGAATCATAGGTGTTAATAAAAGCTCTGAGGAAGATCTGCTGTGTTCCTCCCCTCTAAATATCTCCCACCTGGCACAAGAAAATGGAACAAATAGTTGAATATTCACCAAAATAAATGGCTTGCCTCAAAAGACAACATCTAGCTAACATGACACCCTTTACACTTAAGGGCCTGTAAAATAAAAGCAAAGTATGACAGATTGCCTTTGTATATTGCTTAACTTCCACTTGAAATCTGGAATTTACATTTACTGTATCTGAAGGACTTTTGCATTAAGTTAAAAAGAACACAAATTACAGAGCCCAAGTGGATGTCTTCCCAGTGACTTCAGTGGGAGCTGGACTGGGAAGCCAAAACTACAGGAAATTTTCAAGTTGAGAGAGGAAAATTGTAAGGGCCTTCCAACAAAAAAAGATAATGAGTATAAGCCAGGTAAGTAGAAGAGCATTTAACTGTAAAGTAAAAGATAGTGTTTTCATAACATATGGAAGGTCTTTGGTTATTTTACTCACCAAAAGGAAAGTTTTGTCCATATTCTACAATAAGGAAGGATATAGTCATAGCTATGAGAAAAATAAGTCACACGTCAATATTACCTGTGTTCACTGACATTGAGATTTCCTCTGAGGAACTGATCCTGCATCTAGACCCTAGCAGGAGAGTTAGGGGAAGCCAGCCAAACACCAACTCTGCTCCTATGCGTTTTTAGACTCAAAGTTACAATTAGTTTTTACCTCTTTTCAGGAGAAGCTTATTCAAGAATTTACTGCCTTCAGTTTTTACTCAAAATTCCTTTCTTCTGTATGGTTTTAAGAATAGTAGCTAACTAAATACCTATCTTAGCTCTATTGATGTAGTTATAAGACGTGTATTCCTGTATTAAGAAGCGTGAGGAATCAGTTACTGTAAACTCTTTTAGATAGATGCAGAGGCACTTTCTTTTCAATTCCTACTCACCACTGAGGTTTGTCAGGATGACAGATAGTTACTATCTTGTATGTTTGTATCTTGATGCTAGCTTTAGTACCCCAAAGGTTAACTTTTCCAGAGAATCGATTGGAGAAGAGCAGTATCTTCATTTGTCAGACTTAAAAATGGCCAACCTTTAGCTTTACATACCATAGAGTTATTTTGCGAATGTACTAAGTATCAGAATTACTCAGATGCTCTCAAACCAGCAAAAGAAGAGAGTCAACCTCTTTTGAGTCAGAAATATTTTATTGTTTTCACACTTTGGCTTTCTGGAGAACTTTGGATGCTTCATATTACTACATAGCATGGGGTGGATCACTTCTTTGAGACGCAAGTTTGGTGGCAACCCCACCTCTTACTCCTGCAGAACGAACATGAAGATTATGACAAATATATTTTAAATTGTTCTTTTTCAGGCACACCCGCCTATAGACATTTTTGGGAATGGAGTTTACTGATTTGACCAACTTATTAGAACATGGGGACCAGTGCCCTCATTCCTTACTAGCCTACATATCAGAGTTTAAAGGGCTTTCAGCAGCACTGCCAAAGTGTAACCTAGAGGAAAAAAAAAAAAGCCATGACACAGTAGAAAGCCCATAAGCTTTCCTCAGGATTCTCAGCTGAGAATTGTTTGCTTCACTAATGCTGAGACAAAGAACAAACTAATGCTGTTGCAAGTCTTGGGCAATCAGGCCTTCTTCCAAGTCCCATAAAAAGGCAATACCACACCTACTAGCAGCTCACTATGCTTTTCTCTGTAATCTAAAAAAAAAAAAAAAAAAAACAAAAACCATAGAGTAGTGGAAAACGCCGATTGCAGATATCAAGAAATTGATTGCATTGGGAAGTTTTCTAGAAGAAAGAGCTCTGATCTGATTGGTAGGTCTTGTCTCCTTAAAACACTGACACGTGACATTGGTGCAAAAGTCAGAAAACTGTAAAAACATTTTTGATATTCAGGATAAGCAAAATACTAATGGAAAACATAAAAGGAAAGTAGTAATTAAAAACAATTTCATTAATTTTGGGACTATTAGCAAAGATTTACAGATGTTATTCTTGTGCCGATTGTGCAATCAAACTTGTGTTTCTCAGCCCTTGTGCTCTGTGGCCTCCCAGTTTCAACAGAAATTTTGCAGGTATAACGGTCAACACAGATCAAATCTTATTATGCATGTCCCTTAAGAATATTCTTACATAGCTATTAAGATAGTCCTTTCATCACAGAAAGGAGACAAGTAGGCTTGTATTTAAATAAGGCTAAGAAATAATGTTTTCATAATTATTTTAATTACCAAGATTGAAAAGTAAATTGTCGTAAAGTACCAAAGATTTTTGAAAAGACTAATAGGAACTAAAAGCAAAAGAAAAAAAGACACTACAAGCAGAACAGACCATAACTTTATTGGAGATATACTCAGCTACAATTATTACAAAAAACTATTAAAGGTAATTGTGATCCATAAGGTGCAGATTGCAAACTTCTGCAGCATGATTACAGTATGAATGAATTACATTTTATGTCCCTTAAAGACAGCTGCAGCATGTGATGGTAAGTATTTTATTGTCCATCAAATTATTCATTATTCATTCTACAATGTTATTCATTCTACTTGATTTTAACCATCTTTTCAGTCAAACTATTTACAATAAAAATGCCTGCAATTTCCAATTCTTGTTCACAAACATTTTTTTTCTCTATAACTTGCTGCTGCAGTAAATTCTGAGTGCATCTACAAAGCAATTAAAGTAGTCTGTGGTTGCCATTCAAACAAAAGAGGGAAGAAACCCAAGGGATTTATTAGATAAAATTTATTTTAAAAAGTGTAGTTAGCTTTGACAGAAGTTAATTTTAACTGCTAGTGGAGTATACTACAATGACCTCTAGATATTTGCTAACTTAATTCAGATTGAGTTACAGTTGATATTTAGATTACATTTCATGGTGATGAACTGTAGTGTTCAAAGTTTTAAACCTAATATGAAAGAAAAGAAATTTAACTTTAACTTCTTGAAAATTAGAGCAGTTTAAAAAGGATCAATGTCAGTAATTAAGTACCGAAATGCAAAATCCCTCTCACTTTACTCATGTAATAAATAAGAGATTTCCATGAGAATGTCTTTTGAGGGAACCCCACCCGAAACATACAAACCCAGAACACTGTCAGAGGCAAGTGTAATATCACAGCAGATCACAAAGCTATCTGTCATTTTCACAGATTATATGTGCTGCTGACACTGCGATGCAAAGATTTTCTATTTTCTATATGAATGCAGCATGTAACATACTTATGTCATATGCAGCAACATAAAAACCACATTTTCCAGTTGATGGTTCTATATTTACTTATAAGGAGAAAAAACCCAAACTCTGCAACATATATATATATATATATATATATATATATAAAATATACATATAAATAAGCACAAGAGCTTCAGATATGTAAAACCAATGCAGTTCTACAGATTAAAATAATACTACATCAATTTGCACTAGCTGAGGATCTGGCACCTCATCACTGGGCCGGCATTCTATTCCGCCCCAGCACCAAAATTGGTCTGGATTCTTGTTAAGTTCTACACTCTACAGTTAAAATATACTATTGTGTAATGAGACTAAAAAATAGTAGGCTTTTTCTGTACGAACTTTAGCAGCATCAAGCTGAACAAACACTTCAGAAGTCACTACTGGGCACTCAATATTCAGAACGAGTGGAGACTTAGTTGAGGTTGACCAAATTACTACAGGCTGTCTTCTTGCAAAAACTACATTATATGCATAATATGTTGGTTTGTTCAGAGATAATTACAGGAGTGTCAGAGGTCATTCTAATTTTAAGTACTTCACATAACAGTAAAAATGATGTCATAAAAAAACAATAGTTTTAAAATACAATCAAGAGTTTTGTTACACATCTTTGTTGTATTTTTCCACATACAGTAAAAATGCCACAGACATTACAAATGACCTATTTAAGTTGTGCAAGTAAATGACACATTGCAGGCATTATAATTATCTTTTTTTCAAATTCAGTAAATCAAAACAGCAGCAAGGCCAAACCACATTTTTCCTCTCTGTTAAGCATTTTTTTCCTTGAAATGAGGTAAAGCATGGTACCAAGTGCAATGCTTATTTGTGCTACATGAACAGAACAGCGCAAAAAAAGCCATAAAAATAAAAACGCAGCATAGTTAGGAGGACTGTTTAAAGTACAGTATAATAGGACTAAGAAGATAAACAACAAAAACAAACAAAAAAAACAAGGTTCATGCCAACTAACCCCCACACTATTTATGAGGAGCCTGTGTGGTTGCTTTTGAAGATGGGTTGCAACAGTCCGCTTCCACTTGTGCTTATAGCATGTCAAGTGATTTCTATCCCAACCTTCAAATGATCAGATTTAGGTCTTTAATAGCATACATTGTTCAATATCAAAATCATATCAACTGAAGGGTAAAACACACAGATGTACGACATGGAAATTCATATGTCTTTTTTTATCTCAAAGGATACAAAGTATTTCAATGAGGTCACACTGGAAAAAAATGCGGCATTTAAAACACATTTTAAAATACATCAGCAGCAGAAACTACTTTATAGTCAGCCACTACACATTTCAAATTTCCAATTCATAGGCTTTATCTAGTAATGAAGTGATCATTAAACGATTCTGAAATACAGAACAAATTCAGTTAGTTTTCATTGCATCAAAACTCTGCAGCACTTTACTCCTAACCATTATCTGAAACCCCTGAGAATCTATAGCCTTCTAACAATCAGTAAGAAATTTTAGGCGTTAAAGGACTAAGTTTTAAATTTTACAGTTGTTCATAATGTAGTTAAAACTATTTAAGACTTGGTCTGATTTTATCTGCTAATTGATCTCTGGCCGGAAATACAGAATTGTTAACATTAACGATCATGAATTTTCCCTAAGAAATTTCACTCCTATGATGAAGAAATAGCTATAACATAAATCAGCAATTTTTAAATAGCCAGCAAAGCAATTCATCTTTGAAAATTTAGTCTGCATGTTTTTACTATTTCATTTACACTTGTTTTGTACATATAAACACTTGTCCTTTCCTCATATCTTTTTCATGACTGAGTACCAAAGAAATGCTAGAATTTGTTTACCAGCTAGCATTAGAATTCTTGCTTTCACTACTATAATAATGCTGTTTCCAAATACAAAAACTGCTCAATTTGTAAAACAAAAAGTAATTAAAATAGAATATATATAAACTTTTGAAAATTGTATTTCAGAAAAGCTTAATGCCTACCCCTTGCCACTAAGGCATTTTTCTTTTTTTTTTTTTTGTTTTTTAAGAAAGCTAGAGCTGACAGTTTGTTTTGTTTTAGTGTGCATTTGTGAGGAAAGGAATAGGGTTTTAAAAGCAGGAAATACAGTATTTACTTGTAATTTAATACATAAGACACAGCATCAAGTTCAAACTATTGTACTGGAAAACATTTAAACACCTTGCTCTGCTTTCTCAAACTTCAAGCATAATTAAACAGGGCAAAATTGCAGCAAACCTCTATTGATATTGGTGGGAATACGAGACCCACAGCTTTTTAAAAAGGTAAATTAAGAGGTATTATAGTTACAGTGCAAAAAAATTAAAATTTCAAGCATAATATATAAACATAGCACCAAAACAGGAAAAAAAAAACAATGCATGCAACAAAAGAAAGAAAGAGAAAAAGAAAAAAAAAGAACTGAGGTATTTAAGTGAAGAGTGCCTACAAAAATCTAATTAAAGAAGTATAGGCAAAGCCTAAAACATAAAAGTATGATTTCCCCCCACCCCCAAGTAGACCAAAACACCAATGAGCTAGTTTCTCTAAATTAAGGACCTAAATCACAGATGTATCAAAAGTACGGCAGTTTTATCTCAAACATCAACTTCCATGGCATTTAACAGCACAGCTTTGGTAGGTGAAATATGCATGCAACTCTGAAAAGTACAGTAAGAAATTTACGTGGAAATATCTCTAGGTCTAAAGGTGCTCCATTTGTTAAATACATAACCAACTGACTATAAAATCTGCAGCATATTTTAGGTGTGATATGTCTACGGTTAGTTTGTTAGTGACAGTTTGTACTGTGCAATTATTCATTAATGTTTCCAGTATTGGAACTATCTAGCTTGCAGGTTTGTGTAAAATTGGAATTTTAGCCAAAAGACCATATATTGTTTATGGTATAAAAAACAAAAAAAATCTGTAGACTAACCACCTCCTCTGAATTGTTAAAAATAATCTAATTACATATATATGAATAACTTCTATTATAATCCTGTAATAAGTCACAGCTATGGTAATGAGTTGTACTGTAAATATAGAGCTGTATCATTGTAAAACGAGTAACAAAATGAAGGGAATGTAAAATAGTTCATTCCAAACAAGATCAGAAATTAAAGATTATTAATGAGGGTTTATTTATTTTTAAGGCAAAAACCTTTTTTTTTTTTTTTTTTTTTTAAATGCAAGACTTTGTGGCATAAGGAAATTGAAATTTCATTCACCAGCATGCCAGCCATTTCAATTAAAATCTGTCCCTAACAAATAAGTGCAACAATGATTGGGAATATCATCTTAATGTAAAAAGATGACATGGAGACAGAGAGAGAGAAAAAAAAAAAAAAAGACAATACTGGCACACTTATTCTTTCTTATACCCAATCATCCAGTACAGTTTACCAACTGCTTTATGACTGGCACTAGTGCACAGATTGAAGAATTTCAAGATTACTATATATAAATCTAGCAACTGCATTAGGCATAAGCTCCCTGGCCTTCTAACACTAAGCAAAGCTGTACTGACAGTAAAGTAAAATGAAAAGACCTGACAACAATTATTCTGAACACTTGCTAAATGTTATCATTAAAGCACTCTTGTGATTAAACAAAGCAGAAGTGAGGAAAGAAGACAAGATTGTGTTTGCGCAAAAAACTATAACTACAATTAGTTCCAAAATTTTATACACATTAAATGTTTTGTTATCTATTCTGTTATCAAACAAACTTTAAATTGTCTTCAATTTGTTCCTCTCAACATCAACTTATTTAAAAATTTGCTTTATTTGTCTGCTTTTTCCCCCCATTTTATTTATTTCTAAGAGGAGTCTCAGCTGTTTGGGACCTGAGGTTGATTCGCTTTGAGGCTTCGTAGTGCTCTTCTTGCAGCTGCAGATTTGGCAATCCTGTAGCTTCTGCCAACACCTTTAAATTTTCCCTTTCCTACAACTTCCACTGTTACTCTGACCTTTCCATCGTAAGTTCTTTCTGCAGGACTGCAAAAACACACACAAAAATTACTTACTGCCTGGGCAAGTTAACGCGAAATAAGAGACCTACATTCTCTTTTCTACTGAAGTTAGAGCAGTATAGTTAAATAGAAGTCATTACTTTTCTCAGAAAGTTACAATTGGGGGGAAAAAAACAGTGTATATAAAGAACACCCTAAGTGCTTAGTGAAGAAGAAATTAGAAGTCACTCGTGACCTTTAAAAATCCTCACCGTTTTATGAAACATAGCTTAAAAATGTTTTATAGCAGCGTGTACCAAAAAAAAAAAAATTATTCTTACCTAAATTTGGCTGTCTCTGGCTCCATCTCCAGCAGCTCTCGCACTGGGGAACGGGGCACATTCGCAGAAAATTTTTCTATTAAAAAAATAAAATTGATTTTTGTTCTCTTCGTAGTACATGATACTTAATTACTATTTTTTTTCTGAAAACTGACAATACCTATTAGAGGCCTCATCATTGGATAGTACACTTGCCAAACCATTTCCAAAGACATTCCGCTATCCATATAAATGGCACCAGCAAGGGACTCAAATATATCCCCCATGGCCTTTGGTACTTCAATGTCTTCTTCTTTTTCTTCATCTTCTTCAGATCTTCTTCGCTGTTTGCAATTACAAAAAGCCGGGGGGGGGGCGGGGGCGGGGGGGAAGAGAAGGAGAGGAGAAGAGAGAGACATTTTCTCCTTTTAAAATAAAACAAAGATCTTCAGAAATGTAAGTTCTCTTACACCCTATCCTGTGCTGCCTCCTTTAAGTTTTTCATTGACAACTTTCCAAAGTGAAATCATTCTTTTATTCCCCAATGAAATCAAGTTGTTGGATATATCATTTTTCACATGTAAAAAAATTCCCCAAACACCATTGTATACAGGGACCTTATATGCTTTGTGAATTCCTCCTGCAATAATTCTGTAGGATTTCACCACAGGTCTGTTTTTCCCAATCAGAAACAGACTCGGCTCTACCGGTTAATATTAGAAAGCCATTCATAATAGGGAGAAAAAAAAAAAAAGAGTTCATATTTTAACTAACTCCTAGAAGGAAGCTTTGGAAGAAAACAGGATGTACCCTTCCCATACCTCCTCTACCCTAGAAGATAAGTACAGAACAAGTATTAGTAAAATAAGCCATGAGTAACTGATAACAGCAACGTCAGACTAAGTTAATATGGTATACTATAGGCACTCCTAGGTACTTTTAATGTAAGCAGGCAGTGTTCTCTTCTATACTGTTAAATTAAGATAATAGTCTATTCCCCATATAAACTTTCAGTGCATGCCAAGAGGTCTTGCATTAATCAACTCCATTACTAAAACATATTTCAAATACATATAATATACTTCCACCTAAGGGCAAACAAAGCAATGTGAAAACAAAAAGTGTCTGACCATTACTCTCTTCCATCTAAACAGAAACAAGCGTCTGTCTATCTTCTCTTCCCTCAGTGGCCAGGCTCTCACTCCAATTGGGTGAAATCCAGTTCAGGGTATAAAAGCCTATGCTAAGTCTTCATTTTTTTTAATAGTCACCACAATACTTTATGAACTAGTCCCACCCAGTATTTCTACCTAAAATAAATCAAACAAGGAGTCACTTAGTTTATATGCCCTCCAAACAGGAATTCTGATGGTAAGAAACAAATTCAACTACATTTTGAATGGTATGTTTCATTCTAAGTGCATATTCGGGCACTTTAGAGTTATACAGTACTTAAATGACAGAGGGAGAGAGAAATTAAGAGCTATACAGCAAGGGACAACAGATGTTTCAGGAGTAAGATTTGAAAAAAGAAAAGCAGATGACGCGGAGACACACATGGAGAACAGTCTAGCTGGCATGAACTGCTGAAACAAAGACTCCTGCATTAACTGTGATGAAATAAGGGTTTCAGTAAGTCAGTGCCAGACCAAGATAAGGAGCAGGCATAGAGAGAGTGAAACAAGAATTTTATTTGAAACAGCTACCTTACAATTTGGTTGCAACTTTTGTGGAAGTTTTGAGGCAATCTTTGTGCATAACAACAGAAATTGAACAAAGCCAAGAAATCACTGCTATGAGCTCTTAAAATGAGTTTCTAGACTTTTTACTTATAGCATGAAGAATATTATAAGGATAACACACTTTGATTCTCCGATGTAAAATAATTTATACTATCTAAATTTCAATGATATTTGTTAGTCATTGTTTTCTGAACCTTCCCAGAAAACATACGAATTTCACTCCTTGACAGATGCAAGGGTTGTGAACACATATACACACACTGAAGTCTTCTGATTCCCAAGATTTTAAGCTGCGTATCAGAGAGAGGAAATTATTAAAGATAACATGTTTATTTTATGCTAGAGTATTCTCAGATAGATTATTTTTTTAGAGATTAAATTAGTTTTTAAGATGACAAATCTGCTATATAACATTAAAAAAGATAACTGAGTCCATCTAGTCCTAGTTCAAATTTGACCCAGAAGGCCCTTGCTTTCATCTTCTGAGCAGCTCATTTAAATGAGTTGGATTTAGTCCATTCTCCAGCAAATATATGCTCATTATCATGAGCTTTCCTGCATAGCACAGAAATGATCTCTATTTCCAAGTGTTCAGTTAAATTATTTTTCAAGTGGTTTATTTGAAAGATGCTTATAATATTTCCCTGGCTAACAGAAATAAAGTCTTTAGGAGCATGTCAAACAAGCACTGGATTATAGTGTGATGATGTGTGCTCCAGCAGAAATCATCCAGAATAAAATCAGCACAGAACTCTGTCACAGTGCGCTACATCAAATAAGCCCTGCTTTGCGCCAAGATAGTGTTGTTCATGGTGTTGCACTGATGTCCTATCCCAAGTCACTTTTACGTGACCTAGCACCTCTTTGCTACAATTATTTTCATGGTATAGTAAGGTTTTTAGTCAATTAGTGAAGAAAATTAAGAAAAACATGGGATTAAAAAAAAAAAACACTAAGGTAAAACACTGACTGAAATCAAGTGTCACAGAAAAAACCTGGAGGGTAAACCTGGTTTCAATTTAATTACTTTTAGTGTTTTTATTCACTTTAAACATTCCAAAGATTGTATTTTATTCCGCATATTGAATGTTTTATTATCGGGAGCCACCTGCTTCTTTGGCTGCGACGTGCATAAGGCTAAAGCGTTACAAAAATGCGCATCATGCTCCGAAATTCAATGATCCAATGGCATGCTTTAAATCAGATACTGAACACATTTTTTCTACCACCACTAACCTCAGAATCCATTCCTTGCATTTCATTCTTTTCCATTTGAAACTGTACAAAGTCATCAATAACATGAAACAGTTCAGGAGAGACAGCTTTGAAGTACTTGTGGTAGTCATACTTTACAGCTAGTGATGCAAAAATGGTGTTATTGACTAGAGCGGAACGTAGGTCAGTAAGAACTCCTGGAGAGTGTTGCCGTGGGTCTTCATAAAGGTGCTTGGTTATGAGGTAGTCCAAAATTGCATCTCCCAGGAATTCTAAGCGCTGGTAACAATCTTACAGCATGGGAAATAAAAGAACATACAACAACACAAGTAAGTTTAATGCATGCATTCCTTCTAGGCCTTTCTGGATAGGAAGTTTCGTACATTGCCATGTAAATACCAGAAACTTACCAACAGTCAAAAAAGATAATGTGTGTTTTTAATACAGGTATCTTTATGAGTTTATGTTTAGAAAAATTTCTAGTGGATTAAAACACCCTCCTCCCCAGATTTGTAGCTAATAATAAAGCCGCTTTTGAACTACGCATTAATTTATGTCAGGCTAGGGAAAAAAAAATGTTCATAATGAATTAACATTTGTGCTCAAAGTCTGTAAATTGTCCTGAGATGGGAAAAAAAAAATGTATAAGTAAAATCAAGAGATTCTACCACCAGGCTGATCTGAAACAGATGATAATCAAACCTCCAAAAATGAATAAAGACATCAACATATTAAAAGGAAGATACAACCTGAGATTCTTTGATCCAATTTGCCACACATTCAGACGCCTTGAAGTGTGCTGAACAAAGATTCCCATTCAGAATGGATTCTTTTAAAATGAAAACTGAATTTGGGAAGCCTTTGCTGTTTGGATAATTGATAGGGGTTAGAGAGTTATGGTGGTCTATTTTTAGAATATAAATAAAACTAAAAAGAAAACCCCAAAACCTCTTGAAAGCAAACAGGGATAGGTGGGAGGAGAGGAAGGAAGACAAAATTACCACGAAAGTAACATGGCATAGTGAAATGACTAGAAGGAAGCCGCTTTGATAGCGGCTGAACCTAAGTCACTGCTAGATCTCAGCTACTACTCCTCGTAAAAAAGCCACCTATAACAGCAACTCAAAGTTGTCTTCCTTGTTAAGCAGAAAAGGACCTGGAATCAAGAGTTTCTGCTAACAGCATCATTTTTTCTAGATATTATGTGTCACTGTTTCCATTTGTTAATCTATATACAAAAGGCATTGCCTACTTTCTGTATCTTTTGTGAAATATTTATAAAAAGTAAATACATAAGTAGGTAATGCTATCTAGAATGAAAAATGAAAAGAACAGTTTCAGTGTTTTGTCAGAACTGTTTCTTAGTGTATTAAGATTTCAGAATGACTTATTTCTTTAATTAAAGGAGAGATTTCTTACTTCTTGGAATAAGGAACCAATTCAGTATGAGGAAAGATTCAGACTGCTGACTGCACAGGAATTTGCCGTTCACTTCAAGTAGGGTTGGAATTTTACCTTGGTTTGTTTTTAATTGCATATTATTGTAGGAAAATATTTAAAGTTTAAGAAAGAGTGAATACTAAATTATTAATTTAAATAACATAAGCAAATGTAATTGAAGACATTTGCTAACCTAGAGACGTGTATTTCTGTAAAATCTTTTGTGAGATCATGTATAGAAGCATTAAGTAGTTAACCTGAAATTAATATTTAGTCTGACTTAGTAAATATTTAAAGTCAGAGTTGAAACAGTTTACACTATAATACACTTGGACTTAAACCTCCAATTCACAACTCCAAACTAAAGTCTCTAGATTTCGCTATCATATAGACTATTTGGCTAATAAATGTTATATGGTCAAATTTTACTGTTCAGAAGTACAGTCAAAGAGTAATAGTTTTGGGATTAAATTATGGGAAAAATTTACTAAATATATTTGCAAACAGTGATAGCTACACTTCTAGAAATACACTGTAATTAAGTATGCAAGTTATGCAACTCTAATGTCAGCTAAATGGGGCTCTAACATCAGTTGTATACAACTAGTGACAGAGGGTCAGAGATGAAAAGTTCTCTTTCCTGAAGCTTGATTAAGCTTCAGTAAGTCCTATATCTGTACCAAGACAAAATATGAATCATTCATATATCAAGATACAGCTTCAACAAGTATCCCCCTCTAAATCAGTAACAAGATATTCTTTTCTAAGGTTCTTTCTGCATTCAGAGCCCATTGACTTTTTATTTTGTTAAAATAATAAGACATATCATAAAAGGACTATGTATGGGAACATAACATATACTGCCTCTCTTATATTTATAATATAGGAAAAATAGTTTCTTTAAGACAACTTACCAGTTATGGTATTGTAATGGTAAGAGGCATGAGTAAATGCCTGAAGAAGATAAGCCTTGTTCTTAAAACTGTAGTTTATTTTCTTCTCAAAGTTTTCGAAGCCAGAAATAAGGTGATTCAGAGTTTTTTCAGCATCTGGGTGATCAAACATACACCTCGGTGGAATCTTCAAAGAGCCATACTCCAGGTCTTTGTACAAAGAAGGCTCTGAATTAACCACAGAAGCAGAAAAAGAGTTTGGTGAAAGATTTTTCTGCTGACTGTTACAGTTCTCTCTGGTAGCACACAAAGTGCTTTCCCAATCAGTCCTTTTAATTACTGGGAGCACCTTCAGCCCCAACGAACACAGGAAAAGCTGAGCAGCTCTTTCACCACAGCTGGTCAGATAACAGCCCAACAAGGCTTCCACACAGTCTGCAATGCTTTTGTCAGCAATACACTGCTCTGTATGCAAGTCATATGAGATAGACTGTTTTCCTGCATCAACACCACAGTTTTCTTCTGACGGATTCCAGAAGCCCACTACAAAATCATCCTCTTCCACAGCCTTGCTAGGATCCAGATAGCACATAGCATCCCAAGAGCTATAGTCAAAATCATCGAAATCCGATGAAAACTGAACATTACCCAGGGACGACTTTTTGGGTGCTTTCCATTCATAGTTCGAATCAGTGGTTGAAAAGGGCGAGAGAGAAATTTTCTTCACAAAAGCCCCTGATCCCATTAACATATTATCAATGAATTTGATATGTTCCTGATCATACTCCAAAAAGTCATCTTCAAAGTCTGCTTCTTCCTTGGGTAACCTCCACATTAGATCTTCATCCTCCTCCTCCTCATCATAATCTTCAAGTTTACCATTAGCCAAACTCTCCTTTGTCTATAAAAGAACACAAACACACACACAAAATGCAGTCCCAAAGAGGAAAATTGTAACCTTTTATTCAGGAAATGTCATAAGAGTAGGATGTGGGTAGTATCTGCTAATAACAAGCCTCAACACTTTAAAAATTGTTATTAAAGTTCCTAATTACAGTGTCTAATCAGCATTCTAAGACTAAAATAATTGTCATGGAGTACAAAATCTTTACTATTAACCTATAACAAGTAATATACATTTTACGTGCAACACATGCTACATTTCATAGGAACACAGACTCATGCTTAAACTTGCACCTGATGCAAGTAATTCCTTTAAAAACCATTAAATAATATATACTTGCACACCAAGGTAAATCAAGTCAAAAAAACCCCTAAATTAACAAATTCGGAGATGTACAAAGAAACAGGTTTGGGTGCATTTTTCTCTCTAGCTGCTAAAGTAATGCTATTACAAATGTTTAATCAAGGTAATTTAAAAAAATTCTTTCCATATTCTTCCATTATAAAGTGTTTGCAAGGGTTTACTATAGCAACAGTCACCATAATCTCAGTTTTTGGATATACAACTGGAAAATGCATTCAGTGAAACAACTGCAAGAACTTCTTTTACCCTAGTGCTTCTATAATCATCACTCAAAGTAGCAAAATATATTTTTCTACATTGCCAAGTACAGTAAGTTACAAATAGTTTGTAGCCTACTTGGCAAACTAATAGAAAATAAATTTAGAGAATTAGTGTAGGAAATTTTTATATTACAAATAAAAAACAAGAGTCTAATACTGGTTAGTTGGCAAGAATTTAATGTTTGTGTGGCTGACAGTCTCAATAGCATGTGTTAGGGATTCAGTAAGTGATTTAGGTATTTGAAGAAATCAGACGTAGACCAATTTTTGGTTCAACATTAGAACCACAATACAAGTTAATGACTCTTAATTTTAAGAGTGATGAAATCTCTCCAATTTGTCACCTATTTTATAATACTGCCAGGATTTGAAGAGAGCAGGTTTAAGAATGGAAGAACAGAAGCTACCGCTCACTTCAGTATGATTGGGATGTTGCTTATTTTCATAAGTATTAACGTATACATTAAGTCATGAAGTAGGATAATAATGCAATGCAAAGGTAACTAGTATTAACCCCATCTACTAAATGAGTACATATTTGTTTTATTTCAGTGATACTGAAATACAATTTAAACTTCAGTTTAGCCTCACCTAATTAACAGAAAACTGAAAGTTGTCCCTAATTTTCTACTTTGTACCTATCTACAACAGCAAAGTAATAATGTCTCATATCTCTTCCCTGCTCATCTCGGCCAAAATGATACGAACTGAAGTATGTTATACACTGAGCAGTGATGCCCAAGCTATACAATACTGTACAATTTGCTATGGCCACAATCCAGGAAAGCACTTAGACATATTAACTAAATGCACAAGTAGTCCTCCTTACATCAGAAGGAGGACTCACAGGCTCAACCCTGCATCACTGATATCAATGGGAATTCTGCCACTGAATTTGAAAGGAGCAAGATCAGATTCAAAGTGCTTTTCTGGATTGGGTCCTGAAAGCCAATACCATTTTGAATCAAGTGAAATAGCCTATTTCTGCCCTCAATCCATACATGTCAAATTGTAGGTCTCAGCTATCTAATCCTGAGAATCTGTGAACCAGATGCTAATGCTGGGGACCTCTCCCTTTGGGCCAAATGCACAGCCCTTTAGAGCTGTGCGTGTGTGGCAGCAGTAAGGCAGACTAAGCAGTGCTCAAAACTGTCCAAAGGTCAAACAGATCACAACCTTCCTCATCATGATGGAGCACCTCATCATGATGGAGCAGGTTTAGTAGTGAGAGAAAAAAGGGTGGCTGTAGAAAGCCATAGTTCAGGCACATCTTGCCAAAAGATTTTCTGTTGCTTATTATTTATCCAACTGACACACAAAAATAATCCAACGGACACATAAAAAGCAGCCAAACTTTAACTGTTCAGTAACAGATAGCAAAATGTGATCTAAAGTAATTATTTTGGATATTGGTAGCAGCATGATGATCAAGGCAGGCTAATTTATCTAGTCCCAGCTAAAGCTAGCATTGATTTTTGCGTATCATTTTGCATCACTGTTACATCTGTCACTAAAATGAAAATATAGTACCTGAATGAGCGATGTCCACATGGAAGATTAAAAACAAATTGCAGCTTCAGTGTCCGTTTTTGCAAAAATTTAAAAATAAACTGATAAATTACTTTTTCACTACGATTTCATTCACAACTTTCCTAACTAAAATTAATTTTAATTAACAGGATAGCTAAGTGAACTACCTTAACACCACCTGCATTTCATTTCTTACATTAAAAAAACAAAAAATCAAAAACTAAATAATAAGAATGTACTGAAGTAAAGCAGCTAGTTTGTTTCTTTGAATCATTTCACAGCAGTTCAGAAATAATCAAAAATTAATCGCAGAACAGAAAAGCTTTTCTTACGAAACATCTGCTTGATTTTAAATAACTTACGGCCACTTGCATTTCAAGCTAAATGTATTTAAATGTTTCTTTCATGCTTCTTTGAAATTAGCTATTTGATAAAAATCAAAAAACTGGTTTATTACAGGGAAGCTTCTAATGCTTAATAATGCCAAATGTACCAACATCTCTAGGATGTTTTAGTAACAATTTAAAGAGTTATGAGGTTTCTAGCCCCAACTACAGACCATCTCCCAGAGGGCCAAGAATGAAATTTATATCTGAGACTGCAAAACATCTGGATTGCCCGTTGGTACAAAAAACACATCTTAGCTAAATCATTGTCTGTATTTTGGACTGTAACTGTGTATTTTATTTACAAATAAACTGTAGCTAGCAAAGAGGAACAGGACATTCAAGAGTTATGGAGAACTGAAAGCTTTTTAAAAGCAAAGACTACCTCTTGTCCCAAATGTGCTATTTTATTTTTAGAAAGGTATAACAGTAAGTCTTTTTGAAATGAAATCTTGGCACAATAGAGAACTATAATAATCAGGGCATTTTATTCTGCAGTAAACATTTATTTGCACAGTACATCTAACAGGCCTCTCATGTGCCCTCTGGTGGTTCCACAAGCTGAGTACGGTCTTCAGAATTGCATGAAAACACCCCACAAACAGAAAATGCCAAACCATTCCCAAAAGCTTAAAGAATGAGTTATTGACTGCTGCGATCAATGATATTTCTTAAACATTCACTTTAACTCTTAGCATACAATAAGTATAAACAGTAAATAATTTGGATAGCTGCTCACTGAGATCAGTCATTCTGAAGCTTTCACTGACAGACAATGATGGAGTCTAGGTCAGCATTTTATTTTTGCTGAGGAGTAGCTCTCAACCATTCCCATGCTGTAGCTGAGAGCTGACTGAGAATCTTCTCAAGGCAGTTATAATTCTGCCACAGCACTTTGAGAATATCAACTCCTGTTTATATATTCTGCAAAGGTGAATTCACTATTTATTGAAAGGCAGACAGACAGAAAGGGTCTTCTGTAAACACACATTACACCAAAAACACTATTCAGTTTAAACTTTGGGAGAAATTTCAGAACATGCCTTTATGAGTTCATCTGGTAAGAACAAGAAGCAAAAAGGCTTCCTCTCTGCTCTTCTATTAATATATATACATTAATTACTGCATGATATTCAGCAAGTTTCCTTACTTTGGGTTATATTCAGGATCAGGTTTCCTCTCATTTTCTATAAGTTATGGTGAAGTTTTACACAGAAAGGAAACAAAGACGTAGAATTATTTTTTTCAATTGAAAATAAAATAAAATATTTGGCCAGGGGAAGGTAGAGGAAAGAGAATACAGATCACACTCATTGGAATATACTGATATATGGAGACAATTATTCTTCATCATAGCTAAACAAAATCTTACCATTTCATCTTTCTCCCATTTATCAGTGTTGCTCTTGTCCTGGTTTACTACGTAACCAGGAGGAAGCCAATTGACAGGAGGATCAAAAATTGATACCACCATACGGCTAGGCAGTCCTTTCTTTTTCCCAAGGCGATACAAATTACAGTTGCTGACCTTCAAGAAAAATATTCCGATAAACCTCTGGACACACATTCATATAAAAATATTGGTTAAAAAGACAAAGAACCAAGCCAATTTATGTGATCTTGTCCCATTATATATTTCCTCTAGTTCTCAAAAGGGTTACTTATCAGCTTTCTTAATACACTACAACCAATCCACAGCAAAGGTATAGAATTTTTTTGTTTGTTTGTTTGTTTTTTAAAGTCAGGCATATAACATGTGACAATTTTAATTAAAGAAATCTGATAGATTAAATTCTCTTTGTAAAGCAAAATTATTGCCAAGTTCAGAGTAACAAGTTCAGACTAAGTGTCTGTCCAAGTGTCATTAATTACAGCATTAATAATCAAAATTCAGACTAGATTTGGAATGAGAAATGATTGCTGTTATGGGTAAATTGACCTGAATTTTGGCAGCAGAAAACATCAGAACAGTTCTGTACAGCAAATCTTATTTAAATTAAGTCATAAACCAGATGTCATTTTGATACCTTCTCAAATTTTAAATATTTTAAAGGAAAGGAAAAAAAACACACACAATCTTCCTTTTCCTTTTGAACTACCAACTTCTGATCTTCATTTCTCAGTTTAAACACACTTTTCATGTTTAAGTCTTGAAATTTGTATCCGAGTATTCAAATGAATTTTACTTGACCTGTGCAAGTTATTTAGCCTTCCTTATATTCCTCGATTAAACAACTATTCAATCATTTAATTCTCAGGGTGATACATTTTATTAGAGGAAGACAGTCAAATCCTTAGCATCTGATTCAAGACATCACATTATATGAAATAAAACTTTCACATGATTGATTATTCCAGAATTTTAAAACAGCAGTAGAAGAGACTCTGCTCACTACCATTTATGTTTACATTAAAATACTTAATACTTCAACAGTTAAATATTTAACAGTTTTGATGTAACAATTTTGAAAGGTACTTTTTGTTTTATTTGTTAATGCTATTATAGGATGATGCAAAAGCTTTCATGGAAGGTAATTTATTAAGGAAATAGCTGAAATGCCAGTAAAGCTACAACTGAAGGCTCTGTGCAGCTAACTCCCAACCCTTCATTCAAGGGCTCTTGTTAACGAGTTTCTGGTCAATACAGCTCTAGAACTGTCCAGCAAACATGTCCTCACTAACTGAAAACTTTTGGTCCTATTTAGTCCTATCTCTCCTTATGCTGGTAATCAGCTGATTTAGATTTAGAAATGAACAGTAAAAAAAAGTTTCATCAGTGCCAGATAATGTAACATTAACCCTGTCATCCTGTATTTTTACTCCTAACATGCATGCTACCAAATGCATAATCAGTAAGGCTGTGGATCGAAATCACCTTGGGGCCATTCAATCTTCATGTAAATTTTTGATATATGCAGCTTGTTACGGCCAGCATTTTCCCCAATATCACTGGATCGCTACTACTTACTTTTTTGCTTCTCATATACGATAGCCGTCCCTCATGAGCATCAGGATAAGTGCAAAACAAGTATGTAGTGATGGCATGCTTTAAAAATGAATCACCAAGCATTTCAAGCCGCTCCAGATTAAATCCATCACTAGCATTTGAAAGAGTCAAAGCTTGAAGAATGAGACCAGGATTGGGGCCAAGAGTTTTTGAGGAGTATCCACTGGAAGGGCTCTTTAAAAAATCCACTCTGTCTTTTGAGAAATTAAGAGCTTTTGAAGTACTGGTGGTCACTGCCATTTTGGGGCATCCATCTGAGGTAGATCTGTTAGCATTTCCATCAAGGTATTTATTACTCAGTAGAGTACATTCATTGCTGGGCTTGGGCTGGTTCTCACTGCTGTATAAATTCTGAATGGGACATGAGGTAGTTGGTTGTACAGGTATTTCCTGCCTGCAGTAATTCAGCTGATTTCCTTGGCAAAAGTCTCTGTTAACTAAATCACAATTGCCATTGGCAAGATTTTTATTATAAGAAACACCATTAATTGCCGCAAGTTCTGCCGAGACATCAATTTGGAGTTTACTGGGTGACTCATGGAGCAATGTTCTGTAATTCACAGACATTTGGTCATGCTTTTCTGCAGAAGAGGTTCTATTAGCACCTTGTTGTGCAGCATTTTCAGGGACTACAATTGTGCTGTGCTTACAGTAATTTTCATTCTCTACCAAAGAGGAGCTAGGAATAGAGATGAAGGATTTGCTGTCAATAGACTTTTTCCATCCAAAGTCCAGGTTAGGATATCTGTAAAGATATATGCTGATTTTGTTAAAGGAAAATATGACAAGAGAAGAAAATTCTTATGCACGTACATATTTTTTTAAAAAAGTAATGTTCTTCTGAAAGGAATAGTGACTGCAGCATCTTCATAGATAACTGAATAACATTACCCACAATCAAGTCTCTTCTAATTACATCTTTCACTGAAAGCTGAGTCAGACAAAGGGTATCAGTTTTAAATTCATACAATCAGTTGCATATTTGCACTTTGTTTTTCAATAAAGTGAGATATCAGAAGTGAGATATTGGAAAAAATACACACCTGAAATCTGCAGGAAGTGATTTAACCCCTACACCAGCATCAGTGGCTGTTTGAGCTCTTAGCTCCTCTGCTGTCAACAGGCAGTGCAGGCGATAAAGTATGCTGGGAAGGCAAACTGCTTTTCTCCACAGTGATGCTGGAATAGGATGGATAGCACAGAGCTCTGGAACCAATATCTGGGGTGGGGGTGGGGAAGGGTGAGAAAAGAATTTTACTTTTAAAGGTAGTCTTCAGAACATAGTTAGAGAGAAACAACTTGAATCAAGTACTTCTATTTTACCTGCTTATTCTGCAGGCTTTCCCACTTTGCTTTCCTCTTCTCGGCACTGCTTAGTGGAAGTGCTTTCCCCTTCTGGTTCAAATGGCGAGGAGTCAAAAGATTAAGTCTAAGAACAAGTGAAAATATTTCATTATATAAAAATTTTTTGAATAGCGTAAACTTTCCAAAGTGACTGTTCATTCTGAGTATCCTTAACACACTGCGAAGTGACAGCACAGCTACCTCTGGAAAAAAATGGACTCTTACATTACAGTTGTTATGACACAAGTTAAGCACCTCCTCTAAAATTCAGTAATTATTTTAGAACCATAAGCCATCAGCTTTATCACATTATACCAAGACAAAGAAAATCACGATTTGCTGTCAAACTACAAGTGTCAAGCAAGTAAGATTATTACCTTGAAGATGTGTGGTCCACATCCAGCAGTGGCTGGTTGAGATTGGTCAGGTCAAGATTATACTTTGTTTTATAATATTCAGCAAAAGTTTCATATTCAGGGGAAGGGAATTTACTGAGTGGAGTAAGATCAGTGTATACATCAGCTACGTAGAATCGATGAGGCTGATCAAAATTTCGATACCTAAACAAAAACATAGTTTGGCATATGTTATATCCTTAGAGTAAAGCCTGTTCCATCTTCTCGATGCTGCAACATAGTTAAGATGCTAAACCATCAAATAACTCACCTGATCTTTTTTGTAGAAACCAACTTGTTTGGCTAAATCAAATAATAAGTAAATTGCATGCTATAATATAAAGAAGAATAAAGTCAAGCTATACTCTATGCAACTTCCTGTGCAGAGATATTTAAATAAGATGGAAGACTCAGGTCTTCAAAAATCTAATATATAATCAAGCTTTGGACAACTACTTCAAAGTAATGCTGCAAATGATAATTTCTTAATTCCAAACATTTAACAGTTAAACTTAATTTTTAAAGCCTGGCCTCCTGAAGCACTAGGGTCAGTAGAAATGGAGTTCTACCTCACACTAAAACTGTAAAACCGTGATTCTGAAGAAGTTTCCCTTCTCTCTCCCTTGACACATAGCCTGGCTTCTGGGTTGCTGCTTAAACTAATAACTGTTCTTCTAAAGTGCTAGAACAGTCACAAGTAGAGACGTGATATATGCAGGTGTCCAGTATGTGTAGTGAGGCTAAAATCTCTCGGATACTTTGTAGGTATAAATTTGTTGACTGATACACTACACTACTTATTAGATCTGGGTTCAAGAAGGAATTTCATCCTACATGAAATCACCAGGGACTTTGTTGTCGTTATCTCTCTCACAATATACAGTATGGACTACTGACTAGAATTGTTTCAGAATCTCAAACAAGTCTTCCATTACTGGAAAAACCTAGCAACCTGGCAATACACATGATCTTGTTTTTCTTCCTGCGTTATACTACAGTTTTGGCTTTCATCACTTTGCTATATGTCTAAATTTTGTTGTAGAATCTTAGCATTTTGTAGCACTTATTGAATGCGAACATGCAGACCAAGTGTTCTGCAAACCACCCTAAATTAAAAACCTATTTCAGAACTGCCCTTAAATGGGGGGCAGCTACAGTTGACCAAAATAACAGACCACTCTGTGTAAAATACCTTATGAGATGCACTCAGTATTTGATTTGCATGTTATTTTTTAGAAAGATCAGAATTCAGGTAGAACTGTACCAATGCACGGACATCACATCATACTTCTCCCCCAAGGAGATAATAACCAAGTGAGAGAGAACAGGATAAGCATGTATTTCCATTGTTGTTATGTTTACTGAATACAGAAGTACTTGGAAATTTGATATGACTTCTCAATGTACAAAACAAGGTTAAAACTCCCCCAGGCCTGAACATTATCAGACAGCAACTAATGAATTTTCATGAAAGAATGTGTACTCAGCTGCCCTCTCCCTTCCTCCCAGCAAGGAGGGTTGAGGGGAAACACTAGTTTAGCCACTGCATCCAGATCTTCAGATGGGTGAAATACCATAGCTTCACCAAATCCAGGAACCATGCTAGTTTATACCACCTATGAGCTGCTTCCATGGTGTCAGCTCTGACCACATGAAGCAGTGCTTATACAGTGATGGTCCCTCGTTATTTTTGTACACTAGCATTTTTACCACTGCAGTCACCTGCAGAGATGTACTGAGAGGAAGACATTTAAAGAAGGGGGAGGAAAAAAAAAAAACCTCACTGATGTGACCAACACAAAGTACTAATATTTATTTTCACAGATGTGACCAACATAAAGTACTAATATTTATTTTCCAAGTATATTCTGCAGCTATCATTGTTTATAGTGCAGTGAGCACAGGCACAAGTCAATCAACCTATTTATTTTTTTAAAATTATATCAAACAATACAGAGAATAACTAAGCCTCCATAAAACCTACCAATTCTGGAGAGCCTTTGCATATCCATTGCATAAAATGTTATACGTTTTTTCTCTAAATACCATTCAACAGAAAGATTGTTTTAGTCTGAAGTCTTAAATGATCTTTTTCACTTGCTACTTTTTTCCAGCTACCAAATATCATGCCTTTGGCAGGTTTTTGGTGTGAATAAGCAGTAACCAGAGAACAGGACACCCACTTAATCTCTTAAATTAAAATTAGTTTCAGCAAGCCAATTATTGGTGGTGAAGTCACAACCAGAAAGAATACTGTGCACCTTTTGCTGTGAACTTTTAATATTCCTAATAAAAAGGGAAGGAGTCTTGTGAGGCCTAAACATTGTGGCTAAAACACACTACATAAAATTACCTATTGATGATTAAAAAAAAAAACCACAAACCTGAAAATATATGTTGGTGTTCTAACTAATTTAATAATGTTTCTTACAAGCAATTCTTCTGTTGTAAACACTGACATCCCTTTACGACAACCATTTATATAGACATAATTCGTACATACCTAAAGGTCATGCTATACACAGTGCTCACCTTGGAATGATAACTGCATCCTGGTAATCTTCTAACTTGAAAATAAATGGCATTTCTTTTGTATACTGTGTACTGGGAATGCCTGTACGTGCTTCAGATTTTTCAATGTCTTCCATAAACTTAAAGTCAATGTCCAAAGTGCTGGAGTCATCAACTTAAAAAGAAAGTGCATAATTCAGTTATGCAGGAAAGAGTTTTCCAGGTTGAATTTTTCTGGCAAGTTGCACATTACAATATTTTTTCTTATTCTGTACACATTTGATTGTTTTCATTTCACTTGTTTTCATGCATCCCCCAAAAACGTCAAAAGAAACTCTTCTTGCTCACATACTGATTTTGGATCCTTGTTCAGTCAGCCAAAGTCTACTATATATCATCTCACATCAGTAAATTAAAATTAATTTGGAATTGTGAAGAAAAAATAAAATACAACTAATATAAATCTTCACAGCACCACACACGGTATCATTTCCACAGGTAACACCTGAAACTTAACATAAACATCAATAAATCTATTGCTAAGGGAACACAAAGTAAATATTGAAAAACGCTATTCTTACCAACATTAAGAGGTAGAACGCAATAGGCTGAATCAGCTTCTGTGGGTTTGAACTCTAGTGCAGGTTTCTCAAGACGAAGAATATGTGAAAAAATGTACTGGTGGAGTCGTGTTATTAACTCAAGCATTTGCAGAGACAAAGTAAAACCAGATTTCTTGAGCTCAATAGATATTGTAACCTCTCCAGAGCGAGTATACACAGGAAAATGAGGAATCTAAGTAAGAAAAAATGAGATCAAGAGAGAAAATTCTAGAACTGTATTCCTCTACAGAGTACTTAATGTTTAGTTCAGACACTACATATGAAAATTTAAGTGTGCAAAGACCAATGCTGTCATTGTGCTATCAAAACAGTCCTGAAATCAATTTAAATATCAGAAAATTAAGCAGCCTGTCAGCCATTTGAAACATGACATATTGCTCTAACTCGTGCCTCTTTCATGGCGGGAAAGCAGACCATACGCTAAACCTGCTAAGGTCCCAGCCTCTTGAAAGAGTACGAGGTTAGTCTAAAGGTACCATTCCACAACAGCTTAAGTTGCATAAGTTGGCATTCTCCCGCCACGCTTTCCTGTGCTCACCTTTGAGTCAGAGCTAGCGCGTGCCTGACCCCACAGCAAACTGGATCAGGAAACTACACTAGCAACAAACCAACCACACTGTTGAAAAACTACCATTCCCCCCTCCAAGTTCTGACAATTTAGCTGGCTAACTACCTACCTCCCTGCACAGTCACGTGAGTGACTGCTAGGTATGGGAACAAGCAGTGCTGACGCATCATCTTATGCTGTCGTGGACTTGCCCCTTGCCACGCTCACCTCTACAAACATGTCTGTAATTTAATAATCTGGAATTATTGGTCTTTGCTAAAGAGACATAGCTATTAGAGAGACAGTTCCTAAAAGCTTTTTCAGAAAATCTGACCTTTAGTGCCCTTCAATTATATAGGAGTTTTTGAAGGCTTAAAGAATGACTCTTTTTAATAGCTCATGAAGAGCTTTTCTCTTTATAGTTAAGTAAAAATGGAAAGTTTTTTTCCCCTCATTAGGGAGAAAAAATGAGAACAAGCATACAATAGAAAACTTACTTTCAAAAGATTTTCCTTAGCTGAGGCTCATCTACAAAAAACGTCTTTTTAATAAAAACTTTCTAAAATATCTAGCAGCTGGTGCAGCATTTCAACTTCTTCCTTGTATCAGCTCTGAAGCCTGAAGGCTCTTCCCATTTTAGTTAAAGCACGACCTAGAGCGCACAACTAGAATGTGTACTGCTAACGCTTCAGGTATTTCTCAACACTGAATCCTCCTTATGCTGCAACATTCCAAGGAAACATGCATTACAGCAAAAGGATTAGGAAAAGAGTCATCTTAGGAACAGTGGAGATAGAACTGATTTTGACTGTGAAAGTTGCTCAACAACAGCAGTGTAATTCTTCCAGGAAGGGGAAACAATTTCAAAATCTACCTCTTTGGGAAAATGGTGGTGGGATTTGATCACAAGCTTGACTAATCCATCGTTCTGATGCTCCTTGGCACTTGAGGCACCAAAATGTTATGTTTGCATCACCATACCACTGTACAACAAGCAGCATCATCCCATTTGTGCTGGCCACTGTATCAACTAAAGACCAGTCCCCACCTCACTCTGTTTTATGTTTTTTCTTCTTTCGATCTGTAATATATTTGATCCATTTGATTTAATGAAGGAATAAAGTTTTCCCAGAGATCAAAAGGAATTAGACTAAAAGATTCTATGTTGAATTACATTTCTTTAATGGCTAAAACTCTTAGCTACTATTTTCGGGGGGGGGGGGGGGGAGGGAAAGCAAGCTCTCTACTTCAAATAATCTAGACTTGCACATTGGTCAATCAAGGAAGTCACGACACATTTGCAAGTCCCCCACAGCTGTGCAGGACCAGGAGAGAGAAATAGAAAGAGAAGTTCAGCTGTTACATGAAACACTGGAAATCCCAATATCAAAATACTCCCTGGTTCAGAGCCATGTAAAACATTATTCTTCAGTTGCAACTCAACTGCAAAACAGGAAGAGCAGGGGAAATCTTCAAAGAGCACCATTAGTGCCTCTTGTTTCTGCATCTTAACATGACTTGCTGCAGATCACGGAACAGGATATCTGACTTGACTGATTATCACTAGATTCCATATGGCTACACATGGATGGTTCTGAGGATCCTTTCTGTGTTTTTATTTCAAGATATAACTCTGAAAGCAGCTGAAGTGAAGTGTAAGTACATGTATAAAGAAGTTATGGAAATCTGTCTCCCAAGCATCTGTCTTGTGAAGTGGCTTCCAAAATAAGCATGCAAAGATCCAGTCTGAAAATAAAGTTGGCTTTCAGTATGTTACTGCTTCTTCACTTTTTCACTATATAACATCCAGGTAAATCTGCAAATATCACCTAATTTTGCACTGAAGTAAGTGGTTTCCCATCCCCATAGGAAAGATTTCTCTTGACACTTCTGAGAAGATCCATACATGAAAATGAAACTGATACAGAAAACTAACAATTTTATTTACATTATAGAACTTTCATAAAAGATGACAAGAAAGTCTTACACAGTGATATTCTAGATCTCTGCAAGTCTTTAAATAGATAATACTTATTTTGACTATCAGGTGAAGGATTCTCTGGCAAAAAATAAAATAAAAAAATAAAAAAATTCAGAAAAATCCAATTGGTATAAAGTGTTTTCACAGTATCTGCCAACATATGAAAGCATTTGCTTCCTTCATCACAACTTTGATTAAAATGTTAATTACAAACTACTTTATGGTAAAAGTATTACCATATTTCTTATGATTCAGGTGAAGACATGAAATCAAAAGGCAACTTTGGTATGGATTTGTAAGATTACGGGCACAGTCTTATCAGGCTGAACATTTTTAGGTCTTTGGAGCAACATCCCTAAGATCTCTTTCAAAACTTTGCTCCCAGATTTCCCCATTTTTTCAGAGTAACTGAACTTTCCTGGAGACTTCTGATGCGAGGAACTTCTAACAGTGTGCGCTGTTTTTGGTAGCAATGGCTGAGGTTATTTTCAGTATTTATTTCTCTTATGCTTCCTCTGAAAGCTTCTCATCTTTAGTAACAG